ATGTTTTTTTTCTGAACAAAGATACTGCACTTTTCTATTTATTGTAGCCAAATGTCATCTTTTTACAGAGTCATTACAACCCACAGAGGTGATTTTGAATAATTATTCTATAATCTATCACTCTCTATCCATGTTTTGTATCTTCCTTAAACTTAATCAGTATCTTAAACAACATATAAATATTACTCAGGACTAGACAAAAGGAGAACAATCTATATTGCTTATCTTGAGAACTCTCTTAAGATTATCATCATGCACTCTTTGAATCAACCTTTCTCTGCAATAATCTAAACCCACATTTCTCCACCTTATCCACAAAGGTGTCTTGCCTTCCTGAAATGACCAACATCCTGGTGTAGTAACATAATATTCCTATCAGGAAAGGAAGTGGTATTTCTTTGTAATGACTTACTTGAAAAAGAATCCATAATGACCTGTTATGTTTTCCTTAACACACTGTATTCAGTGATTTATATAAGAAATTTTCCAGGGATTGGTAATAAGCTTAGTAGTCTATATTGCTAAAATATATGTTTCCCTCCATTTTGCAAATCATGATATTTGGCAGTTTATCTTCATAGGGCAATCTAATTGGACAAAGATAAAACAAGTAGCCTAAAGAGAGAAATTAAACTCAAAGAGGTGAAGTGGGAGCAACTGAGGGACAAGACTTACCCCATAGTCATCCAAGCATTCACCAAGTCCATGTTACTCTGCCCCAAGAATATTTCCTGTATTATTCGTCTCCTTTCTTCACCCACTGGAGATGCAACAAACACCTAAAGACATTTTCCCTCTCTCTCATGAACCAGAGTTTGGTTTGGCTTTTCTGTCACTTGTGACAGAAAGAATTCTGACTTTGGAAAGGGAGGCTCCTTAAAGGACATCAGAGTATTGTTACGAGAATAGTCAAGTGGATGCAGGGCAGAGAAACAATGGATTCTCCTACTTTTTCCAGGTCTCCAGTCTTTTCTTGCTTATCTAATCTACCCTTCCCATTAATGCTAATGTTGTATTCTAAAATATTAGTCATAACCTCGAAATTCCTCTCCTACTGCCTTTAGCATAAAATCCTACAGCTTTGGCATTGCAATCAAGGCCTTCTCAATCTGGTGCTAACTTGTCCTCATTTTCCCAGGCTTGTCAGACTTCTCCCATTTTCCAAAGTGTATCCTGCATGCTCATGCCTTTCTACATTCTGCTTTTACATCTGGGAATGTCTTTTTCCAGATTCTACCTGATGGAATCAAACCCAGCTCAAATACTTTCTCTTCCAGTTGAACCTTTCCTGATGTGCCCAGTCCTCATCAATTGTTCCTTCCATTACTGTCCAACAAAAGCAGGTAATCTGCACCTCTGCTTAGGAAGCATTCATCTCATGCTGTACTTACCTTTTCTCCCCTGCATTCCTCCACCATAAGAGTGGCTTTCAAACTCTTTTAGCAATAGCATAGCTCATAATAATAATAAGCGGTAGGCCAGGCGCAGTGGCTCACGCCTGTAATCCTAGCACTCTGGGAGGCTGAGGAGGGTGGATCGCTTAAGGTCAGGAGTTCGAAACCAGCCTGAGCAAGAGCGAGACCCCGTCTCTACTAAAAATAGAAAGAAATAAGCCGGAAAACTGAAAATATATAGAAAAAAAATTAGCCGGGCATGGTGACGCATGCCTGTAGTCCCAGCTACTCGGGAGGTTGAGGCAGAAGGATTGCTTGAGCCCAGGAGTTTGAGGTTGCTGTGAGCTAGGCTGATGCCACGGCACTCTAGCCAGGGCAACAGAGTGAGACTCTGTCTCAAAAAAAAAAAAAAAAAAAAGGCAGTAAATAGAAATACAGTAAATTTTACATTGTGATCCAGTAGACATATTTATATAATCCTTATATTTCATTAATTTTAAAAAGTATCCCCTCCATTTTAATATCTTTGATATGAGGATGCAGCAATGAGGTATTATATTTTGATAGGATTTATGCTTTCTTAATAGTACATAAAATGATGTCTTATAATTGATGACATTTTAGATTTGTTGAAAAGTGGTATATAACAAAAGTTTCATAAAGTAACGTTTACCCATTATTATGGGTGATGCTCTCTTATTTAGTTTTGTGTCCTATTTCTTGTCTTTTTGTTTTTTTGTTTTTGTTTTCTTTTTGAGATAGAGTCTCCCTCTTGCCTGGGTTCGAGTGCCGTGGCGTCAGCCTAGCTCACAGCAACCTCAAACTCCTGTGCTCAAGCAATCCTGCTTCAGCCTCCCGAGTAGCAAGGACTACAGGTTTATGCTACCATATCTGGCTAATTTTTCTATATATTTTTAGTTATCCAGCTAATGTCTTTCTATTTTTAGTAGAGATGGGGTCATGCTCTTGCTCAGGCTGGTTTCAAACTCCCAAGCTCAAGCAATCCTCCCGCTTCGGCCTCCCAGAGTCCTAGGATTACAAGGGTGAGCCACCGTGCTGGACTATGCTCTATTTCATTGAGAAAAAAATACAGGTCATAATCCACTAAAATGATTTCACTACTCACTAATGGATTATCTCTGCAGTTTGAAAAAATACTGAGAACTGAAACTATATATAGCTACACAACAGGATTAAGAACTAAGACACACTACATTAACATGACTTTACTATTTAACTGTCTACATAAATATGATTTTTTTTTTTTTGAGATAGAGTCTCACTCTTGCCCAGGTTAGAGTGCCATGGCGTCAGCCTAGCTCACAGCAACCTCAAACTCCTGGGCTCAAGCGATCTTCCTGCCTTAGCCTCCCAAGTGGCTGGGACTACAGGCATGCGCCACTATGCCCGGCTAATTTTTTGTATATATTTTTAGTTGGCCAATTAATTTCTTTCTATTTTTCAGTAGAGACAGGGTCTCACTCTTGCTCAGGCTGATTTCAAACTCCTGACCTTGAGCGATCCTCCTGCCTCAGCCTCTCAGAGTGCTAGGATTACAGGCATGAGCCACCACACCCGGCCGATAAATACGATTTTTAATTCCAAGAACTTCTTGCCTAAGAAGATGAAGTTACAAATAACTTTACTGTGGCTTCAGGAACTTCCTCAAAATCTATTTATCTAAACAAAACATTACTGACTGACCTAATTTCATCAGGTAGATAGTCCTTTCCTCAATCAGATTACTCTATTGGGCTTAACAAACAACTATTTACTCTTCTATGCTTGCTTCAAAACTCAACCCCTCCTCTGCCCACCCTCCCACTCACCCAAACTATTATATAACAAATTTAGCCCAATCCCAATGAGGCCTCCTCATTGAAAGAGAGATCTTAAACCAGATCTCCCAAATCTTATAATCATTCCATCCTTGACCTCCCTCTTTTTAGATGCTACAAAAATACTGTCAGCTTAGTGGGCTTCCCTTACTGCTATAAGCAATAAACTTGGCTTTGCACGGATCAGCGGGTTCTTTTGGTGGTCTTTAATGGAAGTCAGCAGTAACACTACATTATATACTCCTTGAGGGAAACCCAGTGCTTGTTATTTATTCTTCCCCTTCTCCAGTTGGTCAAACATTAATGGAAGGGGGAGGTGGAAGAGTTCCCAGGGTGAGAGGAAAGAAGTCATGAGTCTGAGGGGAGCCTAAGCAGGGCAGTAGAGCTGAATAATGGTCATAGGTAAGGAGCTCTTGTTGCAAAGGGGCTGTCACCAGAAGTTGGAAATCTTGTGGTTGGAAAAAGCCTCTTCTTTCTTTTGGTTTTATCCACTCATCACCTCCTCACACCTGGGACTCAGATGATGTTGCTTTATTTTATTTTATTTTTTGAGACTGAGTCTCACTCCGTTGCCTGGGCTAGAGTGCCATGGCGTCTGCCTAGCTCACAGCAACCTCAAACTCCTGGGCTTAAGCAACCCTTCTGCCTCTACCTCCGGAGTAGCTGGGACTACAGGCATGTGCTACCATGCCCAGCTAATTTTTTCTACATATATTTTTAGTCTTCCAGCTAATTTCTTTCTATTTTTAGTAGAGATGGGGGTCTCACTCTTGCTCAGACTGGTATTGAACTCTTAAGCTCAAGCGATTCTCCTACCTCAGCCTCCCACAGTGCTAGGGTTACAGGCGTGAGCCACTGCGCCTGGCCAGATGATGTTTTAAATACAGAAAATATAAAACATTGAAGCTCATCCCCACCACTTAACTTCAAGTTACTAGGCGATCTGTGAAGTGGTCTTTGACTCACTCTTGAAGATGTGCATGATAATGGAAAAGGGGTTTCTGTCTGGTTCTCACCGGGATGGTGATTTGAAAAAATATGCTGACCTGCAGTCTCTAATTTCACACTTACTTAAATTTCACATAAACACTACAAAGCCTCCTTGGACTCAATAAACCATAATAAGTAACGTTAAGTTTGCTTTTTTAGCCATGAAGTAGGCCCAAGAAAGCACCAATTTACCTTTCCCACGCACATCCCTTCCCAAATTCAGTCACATTGGCCTAGTCCCAGTTTGCTGCAACAAGCCTGGCACTCCACTCATTGTATGGGCTTCTCTGGGATCTCACAGAAAGGCCACCCTTGGCGACCCCTCCTAAAAGCCTTCCTCCATACCCTCTGGCAGAATTAATGACCTTAGCACTTGGCCTCTAACGCGTTTGCCTTGCACTTCGGCTGTATCGTTACGGCAGATCCATCTTAAGGTCCAGCCTTCCTGGGGCGATGGCCCATATTCCTCTCGGCTTGCCTGGCGCCTTGCACGTAGTAGGTGCTTAGTAAACGCTCGCACGGAGTTTGGTCACTTCGTGCCCCAGTGCTGGGGCAGGTAGTAGTGCAGACGGGGCCCAGTCCGTCCCCCGCCCCGCCGGCCCACAGGAAATTGCCCCCCGGAGGCGGCGGACGAGCCGCGTGCCTCTCCGCCCACCCCCGCGGCGCGCAGAGCCCAGTCACGGGCGTTGGAAATTCCGGCGCGTGCAGACGCGCGGGGCTGGCGGGGGCGGGGGAACCCGTGGAGTGAGCCTGTGACGTGAGGGGGCGTGGCCGACCGAGGCCCCGCCCCCTCTTCCTCGCCCTCTCTCGCGGGTCGGGGTTACATGGCGGCGACTGCGGCAAAGCGAGAGCCTCGGGAACGCCGCTGCCGCCAGCACAGCCGGAGACCTGAGCCGACAGTGGGGACTGTCCGCGGGCCCCGCACTCCCTCGATGAGTCGGAGAAGTCCCGTGAGTGTGTGTGTGTGCGTGTGCGGGGCGCGCCGGCGGGGCGGCTCGGGAGGGCGCCGCGGCGGGCCCGGCGGCGGCGGAGCCGGCTCCCTCCTCCATTGTGTGTGACCCTCCGGCGGCTGCCGCTCAACAAAGGCGCTTTTGTTCCGTCTCCGGCCCCCGCCCCCCTGGCCCGGCCTGCGGCCCGCCGCGCCGGCCGGCCTGGCCGGTCGCCTCCCTGCGCTGGCGGCGGGCTGCGGGCCGGGTCCCCGCGTGGGGCTGGCGGAGCGGCCGCGCGCCCCTCCACCCGGCAGCGCCCTCGCCGGTTTCGAGCCGGGCCGGGCGCCCGCTCCGGGCGCCCCGCCGCCGGGCTGCGGCACCGCCGCCTGGCGCGGGCCGCGGTTGAAGCCCAAGCCAGGCTGGGATTGGGCCAGCCGGCTTGCCGCGGCTGGCGGGCGAGGGGGCGGTGGCCCGGGTAGGCATATGAGGGTGGCCGCGGAAGTCTCGCACTTCCTGGCACAAAAGCTGCCTTACGAATTGCTGCCCGCGTCTCCTCCCCCATCCCACACCGGGTGGACTCGGCCTCACTGCAAGCTCGGCCCCGGGGGCAGTCTCCAGTGGCGTAGCGCGCGCCGCTCGCCCCACTCGTCGGAGAGCCCTGAAGTCCGCCCAAGTTTTGAGTCTAGACGTAAATGAGGTACTGAAAACTCGTCTGAGACGGAATTTCTAACCCCCCTCCCGCCTTTCTTTAGCTTTGTTTTTCGGGACGTTAGCTGGAGGTCTGTGAAAGTACCCAGATGAAAACTTTGTCAGTTCACTGAAAAGGGCGTCCTCACTTAGCTGTGCATCTAGTCTGGCTTGTGAGTTGTGTTGGGGTGAAGGTGTTCTGGCCGCCTTTTGTTCCTTGGCTGGTGTAGGGCTCGGCCGGTTCAGGTGTTAGGGGAGCTCGGTGCAATAGGAGGAGCGTTTTGATTCCTTTCCTGCTTTATTTTTTCCTTTGCTCATTGGAAGAGCTCCAGTGAAGGG